GAGAAGGGGCACCCCTTGGTCACAGAGCTCTTCCAGGAGGAAAATCCACCCTGGACCATGCAAGACCCTGGCTCTGTGCCCCTTTAGAGGGTGCTGCTGTTTCCCAGCTTTCAGAAGATGGTCCAGCTGCCCTCAGGACTGCTTTAGCTCCACCTTTGATTCCACAGGCAGTTCCTTGCTTCTTTCAGACCTTTCAGCAGGTGCTGCTTGCCCCTGCAGTGCCGGCATTCCCGGAGCCATTCCCTGGCACAGTCCCTGAGAATCCCTGGCTTTCTGACTCCTCTCATTTAAACCCACAAACTCTTCAAAGGTTTTGCTTTATGATCCGCTTTTTATAGCCTGAAATTCAGGCAGTTTCTGGTGCCACCTTGTGTCACAGAGGAGCAGATCTGTGGAGCTGTCACTTCCTCTGGACATTGGAATATTGTGGGTTTAACTTCTTGACTTTGGGGTGCAGCATCAGAATTAGCAAGGTCAGATCACCAGGGAGATTCAGAGGGTGACACTTCTGCATGAAATGAGTTTGAAGCAGTTGAAAAATTAATTAAATTATGAATTGGTGCTTTGGCTTTGCCTGGAATTGTTCAAGGCCAGGTTGGACAGGGCTTGGAGCAACCTGGGATAGTGGAAGGTGTCCCATGGCAGGGGATGGAACGAGATGAGCTTTAAATTTCTTTTTCAACCCAGAGATTCCGTGTTTCCATGATTTCCTCTATTGCTGTTTGCTGCACACAGTGAGGAGCTCAAAGGAAATTGCTCAGGTAGATGAAGAATTGTTATTTTTGGAAATGTGTGGGCTGTCCCTTTCCTTGATGCTGAGCCACTGTCCAAGGCAGAAAGCTGCTGGGAACAGTTTTGTTGTTCAGAATTCAGCAGCTGAATAGTTTGTGCACTATCAATTGAGGGAATTACTAATAGCTCCATTGCTAATTACTGATTTGCTTTATTTATGTGTCAAGCTACCACTGTGCTTTGCAGATGTATTGTAAAATAAGTGAAAAATAAGAAAAGAAGCCAAAAAATGACACTTCCATCAATCAGGCCTTGTGTACCAACTTCTTCATTGCAATGAGCAGATGAATTTTCTCTACCTCCAAGTTCCTACTTTTACTTTTTTTCCTTTTATGGATCCTCCCATTATGCATTCAGAATACTGAATTAATTAAAAAATTAACTCATATTACCCCCCAAAAATTTAAACTCATATTTTATGGGAAAATATTTATTTTGTGGCATATCTGGTGAAACGTGGTAAAAGTTTAAATCTTCTTCATGAGTGAGGGTGCTGCAAAAATGGGCAAAATTTGTGCTGAGCATCACTAGATGTCACCCTCGACCTGAATTTAGTTTCACAGGAGTTTTAACTTTAAATTACTCCTGTTCTGTTCTCATACTCCCCCCTCTTTTCCCCCCACCTTGCTTTTAATGCATCTTCCAGTTCAGTGCAGCACAAACTGTCGTGCATCAATATTTTCCTTGCTTAAAACCACAATCAAAATTAGGCCAAATAGAAATTACTGGAATCTTCAATACCATCAATTTCTGTGCTAGATCAGCACTGAGGAAACAGAAAAAGAAAAATCTCCTGGAGAGGGTTTCTGTCTAACGGGTCTGGTTGGATTTTGTTCAGATCTTGTTGGAATCTCCATCGTGGGAAATGAAGAGGAATGCTGAGGTCAAACCCGCATAAAGTCACGAGGAGCTCTGACTTCTTCTCTGTTCCAGCACCATTTCCACAGGAAAAAAAAAAGAAAAGGCCCTTTTATAAAACAGGCTTAGGCAGTAATTTTCAGGTGAAGCAAGTTTTCAGGGAAAGGCTTTGTTTTTCAACTCTGAAATTCTTTGTGAGAGCATTCCAGCCCTGCTGGAACATTCATGCTTGAATGAGAGGCAAAAATGTGTTTATGAAGTTCATGCTGTGTTTATGGATTTATTTAAAGAATAATTTCATTCAGGTCTCATTTTTTTAACCTGAAATAACTTATTTAATGACATTAATTTCTTAGATATGAAAAGGTTTAGGAAAATTCTTTAATGAAATGAAAAAGAGAGTTTTGCCTATTAAACACATCTTTAGGTTGACTGAAAACATACTGGTCATAGATTTAGAGTTTTTTTCTTTAACTTCCACAAAAAGCACAGAACAATGAGTCCACATGGGGTTATCTGATATTGGAAAACCCTTTGGGGTTTAGAATTTCAGGAAGCAGGCAGGGAGTTTGGTTTGTGGCCTGTGAAGTCACTGTGAGATAACAGAGACCAGGAGATTGGAGGGGATGCTCACACCTCGTGGCTGGAAGGAAGTTTGGGAAAAGGTGTTCAGAACCTCTGGGAGTAAATCTGAGAGAACCCAGTCCTTTTAGCCTAAAACCCGTGAGGTTTAGGGAGAGAATTGGGATAGTTCAGCCTGGAGAAGCTCTGGGGTGAGCTCAGTGTGGCCTTGCAGGGCCTGCAGGAGCTGCAGCAAAGATGGAGAGAGGATTTCCAAGGGATAGCACACAGGGAATGGCTCCAAACTGACAGAGAATAAGTTTAGATGGGATATTAGGAAAAATTTCCTCCTGTGAGGGTGGTGAGGCCCTGGCACAGGGTGCCAGAGCAGCTGTGGGAAGTGTCCCAGGCCAGGCTGAACAGAGTTGATGTTTTTCTACAGCAAAACTTGCACTGCTGGTCCAAAACATTCACCTGGTGCTTTGCTCAGGCAATGCACAAAGAGTTCTTGTTCTTCCAGGTTGGTTCCAAGCCCTTTCTCCCATGATTTCCATCCCTTCTGGAGGGTGGTTTGTTCCAGCAGGGAATTTGCTGCAGCTCCTGATTCTGGCATGTGCTGGAATCCATTCGCTGAGAGCAAAGAAAGGGAAATTACACCAGAGCCTTTATTCAAGGAAGGTGTAATTTAGGGCTTCAGATTAATTGAAAATGTTTGCTCCAAGGGCAGCAATTGAGCTCTGCTCTGATTAAGTGCTTGCTCCCAGGCTCTGTGGCCTTGCAGAGGGGAAGGACCCTCACGTCTGCAGAACCTTTGTGAGGAAAACCTGTCATTTCCCCACTCTGAAATGTTCTGTGCTGCTGAAATCATGTTAGGAAGAGAAGTTCCTTGGGATTCTCTAATTTCCAAAGAAAATTGTTGTTCCTCAAGGGCTGAGCGTTCTAAGGGGGAACAGGCCAGTACTAGAAATGTGATTCTGAGGGAATTAGTTGCTATTTTATTTTAACCAAATGGCTTCAGATAATTGTCAAAGAAAGGTGTTTCCCAGGAATCCTTTTTCTAGTTTAGTGAAAAATTTCCATCTGTCACACTGGACACAGAGCACTCAGAATTGAGGGCATTGAAAGACAATCTTTTATTAAATATTTCTTCAGAAGAGCTGGATTTAGTCAGGCACTGTTATATTATTGGCTGTGTTAAGCTAACACTCCATCAAAGAATTACTTTTAATCAGTTCAAACGATTAAACCCTGGTTATATCAGCATGTATTGACCTTCCATTTAATTTCCAGTGCCTCGAGTGATCTGGGAGAGTTCTTTCCTAATCCTTTCTCTTCCACTTCTACCTGCAGAGCTCTGGCACTGATGGATGGGATTTGTACTGTGAGGGTGTCACTGTGATATTTTCTGGAAAAATCCCTTCACCAGGATTTCTCTCCTGGGAAGCTGAGAAGCCTCAGAGAAAAAGGAAAACAATATTATCTAATTTGCTTCTCCTGTATTTTGCTGCTTTGGAATGTGTTTGGAGGTTGTTTACCCACAGGTGATTGTTTCATTGGTTTCATGTGAATTGTGTTTACTTATTGGCCAATTGGGGTCAAGCTGTGTCAGGACTCTGGAAAGAGTCACGAGTTTTTCATTAGTATCTTTAGCTTTCTGTCTGTATCCTTTCTGTATTCTTTAGTATAGTTTAGGATTCTTTAACATAATATAGATCATAAAATAATAAATTAGCCTTCTGAGGACATGGAGTCAGATTCATCATTTCCTTCCAATGTCAGGGCACCCCCAAATACAAGAGTGGGGGCTGAGCCAGAGCCCACCCTGGGCTCACAGAGATCCAGTGGCACCTGCTCTGCCCCGACCCCCTCAGCTTCCTGTCTTGTTTCTGTTAAAAATCTGCTTTTAGAGCAGCAGAGGAAGGAACTCAACCTTCATCAACCCCAAACGTTTTCAATTCCTGTTGCTTCTTAAAAACTCTGCTTTGCATTGACGTTTCAGAGTTTTTGATTTTCTCCTCTGCCTCTGCTTGGAGGAGAAGAACTTTCAAAATGTGCAGGGTTTCACCTTCCAGCTGTGTCTCCTCAGAACTTTCAGCCTCCACATTGATTCTGACACGGGTTTGTGATGTTGCAGGAGTCACCAGAGAAAGGAGGGGAAACCAAGGTGTGCTTTCCCTGCAGCTGCTGAACAATTTTTGTCAGGGCTGGGGTTTGATTTCAGGAATGCTTTGCTGGTAATTCCCTCTCCTAATCACAATTCTCTCCAGAAGTACAGACAGCAAAGAGAACGTTTAAAATGCTGTTTATCTTTAGAGGGATCTTGTGCATTAAGCTGCAGGTGCTCCCCCCCAACGTGCAGCTACCCATGCTGGAGTTTGAGATGTGTTAAAATTGCTGCTGTGCATAAAAACACTGCTGGGAACATTCAGCGTTGTGTTTGTAGTTCCTCAGGCAAACTCCCTTACATTTAGCATGGAATCTATGTGGGAACTGACATATGTTGGGTGTTCAGACAGATGCAATGTAATAAATCATAATAAATAGTAATAAATCACCATTTCAGTATTCAGGGCTCAGTGATTTCAGGAAGGCTCTGGAACATAAATATCAGTTCAGGAAAAGCAAACAACTTCTACATTTTTTTTTTTTTTGGGTCTTTCCACAGAGCTGCCATAAGGAAGGAAAGCATCATTATTGTTTCTTTCAGTTCTCAGCATAAAAGGAAGTAACACTTAATAAAAGCCATTGGCTGCAAGATTTCATAAGAGAGAGAGGCAGAGAGAGAGAGGAGCAGCATGCTGTGGAGAAGCAGGAGTGATTCATGAATAAACTGCTCCTTGGCACCCTGTAGGATACTGATGAAACAAATAGAATTTCCCCAGACATGGATAATACAAGAACAGCAGACACTTTTTCACAGGTAAAGCACAAAGTGTTATGGCTGGTGTGGAAGTGCTGCTTGTTGTGTGTAGCTGAGATGGTTTATCAGAAACTGGGGGTGACTTTGTGCTTTATTGGCAAGGGATTTGCAGTAGGTTTTGGTGTAATGGACTATTATGTGATATGAGCTCAGCCTGCTCTAATATATCACAGAGTGTTTGCAGAAGGTGTGCAGGAGACAATATTTTTCTGTGCTTTATTCTTGAGAAAGTTGAAATGTGCAAAGTTTTCCTGATACAAGGAGAGAAAATCAGTCTTTCTCCTGCCATGCTAGAGAGGATTTATTAACACCTTATATTATCTGTGCTAAAAATTTCCATAAGGTAATTGGAAGGAAGAAAAAGTGCTTTGTATTATAGGCAAAAGCAGTCTTTTGATAATCCTACAGGAATCTGAGGTGATTGATATGCCAGGATTGAACACACATCAGCTTGCAGCACTGTGGATTTGTCTGAGTGCCTGCCACACACAGAGACTTGGAGCAGTCTGCTTGTTTCAATATTTGGGATAACTGAGTCGTGGGAAGCTCTTCTGTGCCTGGAACAACTGATGGGATTGGCAGAGGGAAAGAGGAATCAGGGAAAAGAGGAATCGGGGAAAAGAGGGGATTGGCAGAGGGAAAGATGAACCAGGGAGAAGAGCAGTCAGGGAAAAGAGGAATCAGGGAGAACAGTCAGGGAAAACAGGGGATTGGCAGAGGGAAAGATGAACTAGGTAGAAGAGCAGTCAGGGAAAAGAGGGGATTGGCAGAGGGAAAGATGAATCAGGGAAAAGAAGAATCAGGGAAGAGAGGAATCAGGGAAAAGACCAGTTAAGGAAGAGAGGAATTGTGTTGTGTGCAGGCTCTGAGCTCTCCTGGCCAGCCAAGGGTGAGGGCTGGGTGGATCCAGCTTGCTTGGCTCCCCTTGTTCCCCAGGTGTGAGAGATTTGCCAGGCCAAGCTCTGGCAAACCCCAGAGCAATCACACAGACGAGGAGGAAAACAAAACCTCTTTGTGGCTTTCTGCTTTGTCACAGGGGAAAAGGGCAGGGGCTGCTCTTGCACATTTTGGAAGTTTTTCTCCTCCGAGCAGAGGCAGAGGAGACAATCAGAAGGGCAGGGATGGGTGACCCAAACACTGGATTCTTGAGCTTGCCATACATCAGTTGCTCCAGCTGAAGTGCTGTAAGATTGCAGCTCGCATCTGGCACTGCTGCAGGAGATGCTGAGGCGCTGCCATCCCTGTGGAGCCATCCCTGTTGATGCCAGAGGGGTTGGGAGGGCACAAGCCCAGCCCTGCAGGGATTTTTCCCCTCTCCCTGCTGGCCCTGGCCAGGGGTTTCTGGCTGGCACAGACACTCAGGCAGCTCAGGGATCTCTCATCTTCCCTCTTGCTCTGCTGGGTGCTCAGGGGCAGCACAGGTGTGGAAATAATCAAATGCTTGCCTCCAGAGAGGGCTTTACTGACTGAGAACAAACAGGAAACCAGGGCCAGGTGGTGCCACTTGTCACCGACTTTCACGCACGGAGCTCGGCTTGCAGGAGCACCAAAATACCCACAAAGGCAAACTGTGCCTGAGAAAAACCAGTTTGAAACTTCTTGTGAGCTCCTTTTAAAAGCAGGCTTTGTGTTTTCCTGAGGCTTTTCATCTGAGAGCTGCTAAGATCATGCTGCAAGGTCAGAGCCTTTTGCCTTTCCACCCTGCTTTACTCTAATCAACTGCTTTAAAGCACTTTATCCCCGTGGATTTCCCCTACAATTTTCATTGGACTTTTTCTTAAAGGCCACCTCTCTTAGATGATTGATTTTTTTCCCCCCTATTTCTTTTTTTCAATTTTTTTTTATTTCCCTGGTCTTTTCTAAGGTAGTTTAAAGTGGATTTTCACCGTATACTTACCACGGGATTAATTCTATTTAAATGAGGCCAAATGAGCTAATATTTTCTGATGTGTGTGTTCATGAAGGTGCACCCAGCCTTGGCTGCAGCTCTGGTGGCCTGAGGGACAGGCCTGAAGCACATCCTCTCCTCCTCACACCCAAACAAAGTTAAATTTCCTGCTCCTGAGCCATTTGGAGCTCCATGTTCCTTTCTCAATATTGCCCAAATTCCTTGGAGATTCATATGTTGTTACAATTATTCACTCCACACCTTCATACCAGTAAGAAATAAATTACAATAAAATATATTTTTATATACCAGTAAGAAATAAATTACAATAAAATAAATTTTTATATACCAGTAAGAAATAACTTACAACAAAATGTCTTTGGGTTCCTCCAGCTCCTTCTGGAAGTGGCAGAATGAATATTCCCAATATTCATTTTCCTGGGAGCACAATGAATATTCCCAAGCCTTTTTTTTTTTAACAGAAATTATTTTCTGACTTTAAGACCCAGCTTAAATAGATGTCCAGGTAGCTGATCCTGAGGAATTGGCCCATTTGGAAAAAAACAGTGTATTTTTAAAGTGTTGAGAACTGAACAGAACAAAATCATTTATAGAGACAAGGATCACATCCTGCTGAATCTGTCAGAGTTCAGGAGGAGATGGACAAGGAGAAATTTACCTCAAGATTTTGCTGGGATGATTTATGAACAACCCAGAATCCTGGGGAAAGGAAAAGCCAGGTCAGAAATGATACATCAGCAGATGGATGCTCATTGGGTTTTTATTTTTATTTCTTTTTGCAAGCTCTTAATCCATGTTTTGATTAGTACATAATGAAGGGCTTGTTCATTAAATGTTCCAGCTAATTAAGAAGAAACTCGTGGACCCCTGGATCCTCAGTTAAAGGTGCATGAAATCACTGCTGCTTTCTCTCTGCCACACTTCATACCTTTTGCTTAGCAGGTGTTAATGTGATTTAATAAACCTCCAGCAGGATGAAACCTCTTGTTCAGCATTTAGCAATTTTAGCATTAGATTTAGAATTAATCTTTCTGTTACAAGACATGAGGGCACAAGGTGAGGTTGTGAGCAGAAGGATGCATGTTTTTCTCCTAAAAAATTAGATGTGTCTGTAAAATAGCCCAGCAATCTTTCTTTCTTCACAAAATTAATTTTACTCTCACATTAATAAGCAAATATGATAATCCTTGATACTTCTTATCACTGTGGATTATTTAAATTGCCATCACTAAGGGCACAGAATGCTATTATTTTAGTAGCAAACTGAAATGCTCCTGTATGAGCCACCTCCTTTATTCTATTTCAGTCCATTTTGTAGCAGAGCATTTAAACTGTACCTCAAGAAACTGCTGGGTAAGTTCACACTGAAGGATTGTTTTGAAATCAGGTCTAATTTAAAATATTCAGGCCACAGACTGTGGTGATGCTGAGGCTGCTTCTGACAAAGCAGCAATGGTGCCTGGAGGAGATTTCCAGGGAAATCTCTGCCTTGGAAATAAAGGCTCGCAGGCTGGATGGAGTTTTCCAACATTTTTAAATCTCTGCCTGCCCCTTTCCCCTGGAAAAGCAATGGAACCTTCAGTTCTTTGTAGGTTTGCACTGAATTAAAGTGCAAAACAAGGTTAGATATGGGCCAAAGCATTTGTTTAATTCTTCTTAAGGATGTGCAGTGATAAGAGACTCCATAATTTTCCTTGGATGGCTCAGTGTTATTCTTATATTTTCCAAACATCTCAGCAGAACCTCTTTTGTTGTAATTTCACTCTTTTGCTGGAATGTAATTTCTCTCTTTTGCTGTAATTTCACTCTTTTGCTATAATTAATTTCTCTCTTTTGCTGTAATTTTCTCTCACATTTCTCATTACCTCACCACAGAGGGAGCCTCCTGCTCCTTCCCTTATGAACCCGTGCCTGTCCCAGGCTGTGAAATCCCAATTCTTCCCTTGAAAATCCCATTTTTCCAAAGCTCTGCTTACTCTCACTATCCAGAGCTGGATCATCCAGCTCTTTTCATGGAAATCTTCCCTCCCATTCCAGCAGGATCAGTGCTGAGCACTCTTATTTCAGTGTTTTGCTGCTGTCTGGAATCTCCCCGAGGGAAATTCCCTTTTATTGCAGCAGCACCACGGTGGGAACTGCTGTCACTCTGCAAGCTGCTCAAACTTCTGGGCTTTTTCTGCAAAAAATATGTTCTTCAGCCAGTGCTTGTGAAGCTGGCAGCTCCTGCTGAGCATCCAGATTTTTTTTCCCCCCCCTCTGCTTGCTGAATTATAGATTATTGCTGCTCTCATTTGTCAAGGTTGTTTGGAATTTGAATCCCCCTCTCAGTTCTCTCCAGCTGCCCATCAAAATCTGCAAATTTAATAAAAATAATCTGCAGTCCTTCAGCAGATCACTGATGAAACAGTGATCAAGTAGCACAAAACTACATCAGTCTCCTGTGCAAGCAGCTCCACGCAATTTATCCTGAATTTTCACAGTGAAATTACTTTCCAAGTGTCATTTTCCTGATGAGTTCTCAGAGCTGGTGGAGCAGGAGGCTCCGTGTTGGTGACTGAGGGAAAATCTGAAGTGTTTTCCTCGTGTGAGACCTAGAAAGTGTCATTTTTTTCAGAGGGAATTTTAAGAAATGTTAAGGCTTCGAGATTTCTCAATATGGTGGTATTTTCAATACTGAAAATAGTTAAAATTGTTGGCATTGTGACCATGCTGTGGACACTGGGCACCAGTTTGTAGCTTCATGGTTTTGAGAACTGTTCTTGGAGATTTTGATGTTGTTGCAATCAATCACTCCATACCTTTATACCAGTAAGAAATAAATTACAATAAAATGTCTTTTGGTTCCTCCAGCTCCTCCTGGAAGTGGCAGAATTTCCAATATTTTCATGGAAATCAAGCTCCTGTTTGATGAATCCCTTCTTCTTTGAATAAATGTTGACAGGCACTATTCAGCCAGATATGGATCTGCAAAAAATAATGCAAAACATTATTACAGATGGATAATTTAAATGATGAATAGCAGCTCTGTTTGACAAATAATATTAGTCTGTCTCTGGGCTGCAAAAGGTGGAATTGCCACATAAAAATACCACATCAGTCACCTGATTTGGGATTTCATGTAAATTGAAACTGAAGGCCTTTCAGATACCCCAGTCCTAGGAGAAAACCACTGCCCTGGAAATGTTTGGGAGCACTCAGCACGTTTTGAGCTGAGTTCAAACCCAGTGAAAGTGAATAAATTAGGAGAGAGAAGTTGATAAAACCAAGCTGGAGCTTTAAGGCAATCCAGATTGGGTCTGTTGTCTTGAAAATGACACATTCAGCATGCAGGCACAGCGAACTTCAGTCAGATTTATGCCTCAAAATTAATGAATTCTCTGTAAAGCAGCAATTAGCCCTGACCTGATCCTTTTCCTTGGAGCCAGAAGCTGCTGCTGGAGGGCAGAGGATTTGGAACAAGCCCTCCCAGCCCCTTCCCTCTGCATCCTGCACACCCAGGAGCTGCTGGCTCTTGCTCCTGCAGGGAGCAGGTGAGGCTGTTCAATGTTTCATCAGGACAAGAGTAAGGAATGCTTAACAATGAAAAGCTTGGCTAGAGCTGAATGAAAACCTCTCTTCGGTGCAGGGAGCAGGATTTCTGCATGACTGGGCTTTGTTGTCTCAGGAGATGCTAGAGCAGGGTGGGTGAGCTCTGATCTCCCCCAGGTGTGCCTGGGATGTTGTCTGACCGTGTCACACCAGTGTTTGTGACACTTCTGTGGGATGGGGAGCCACATTTCCTGCTCTGTGCCTCCAGAGATGATAGAACAGGGCTGGGTGAGCTCTGATCTCCCCCAGGTGTGCCTGGGATGATGTCTGTCCCTGTCACAGCAGTGTTTGTGGCACCTCTGTGGGGTTGGGTGATCTGTGATCTCCCCCCAGGTGTGCCTGGGATGATGTCTGTCCCTGTCACACCAGTGTGTGTGACACCTCTGTGGGATGGGGAGCCACATTTCCTGCTCTGTGCTCCCGTGGGTGCACATGCACACATCCCAGGAGCATTTCTGCATGGGATTGCCTCATGCTGTGAGATAAGAGGAATAAGAACAAGCTGAGCCAAAGCCACCATTGGCTCCAATTCCTCTGCAGGCAGTGCAGGGAAGGGCTCTCAGCTGGCAGGGGGATTGTCCCCTGGGGAAGCCCAGAGAGCTCAGGGGGTGCCCAGGAGCCAGAGCCATCCTGTGACCCTCTGGGGCAGTGAACTGCAGGGTGAGGGTCAGAGAGAGCAGCCAGAGGAGCACGTTTGGTGTTTTACCCCTGGGCAGTGCCCCAGGTGCTGGGTGTTCCCTCTGCCTCTCATCCTGCTGTCAGCATGACCCCGAGAGTCTCTTTTCCCAGCCCAATGGGTCAAAGAAAGAGTCAGAATTCTTCAGCTCTGGTTCACAAGGTTGTTTATTGTCTCTTATCTAAAACATTCTTTTTCAGACCCGCAGAGCTCTGCTCAGCAGGTCTGTCAAGGGCACACTGCCACCCCCTGGGCTGGTGTCCACATTTTATACTATGAACTACGTGTACTTTATTTATCATTATTTTCCAATACCTATCACCTGTGTTAGACTGTCAACTTCTATTCTAAACCATTCCAAATGCGCCACCATCACCCAGAAGATGGAGGCTAGGAAGAAGGACAGGACAACACCCACATCCCTCCATCTTGCCTCCTAGACTCCTATAGTAAAATCCCCAAAACTCCATTTTTCACCCTGTGTTTCGTTCATTATCACTCTACTTAAACTTCTGTGACTTGTGATTCTTCACACAAGGTTGGTCATTTGCTCCATGGGTTAGGATTGAAATCCCAAGTGTCTTTGGCCCCCTGCCAGGGGCACCAGAGGGGCATCCTGGGCTCTGACATCTGCCCTGCTCAGACCCTCCTGGATGATGTGGCTTTAACCCTTTTCCTTCACGGGCTCCTGGCAGATCTGGGATTTTCCCAGTGGTGTTCTACAGCATCCAGACTCCCTGCAAACCCTCTAGGGGATCCTTTTAGGTCAGTGGGAGAGGCAGGAAGGCCTGGGAGGGCACTGCTGGCAGCTGCCCCAGAGCAGGGCAGAAATCTCCTCTCTCCCCACTAAACACATTTTATACCAGGCCAAAAAGAGAAAAACCTCAGCTCTCCTTCCAGAGAAAGTCTGGAGCCCCAGGCTCTTCCTTCAATTGTGAGTTCTTTCAAAGCACTTGTGTGGCTCTGCTGAATTTGGGGAGGGTGATGACAATTTAATCTGTTTTAAACAAGCTGCTGTAACCTGGCAGGTGAGTGAGTGCATTATTAACACAATCTCGTGTATTTCCTTAATGTGCCTGCTTTGTAATAGAAGAATTTATTTTTGTTTCTAAGTTTTGGTATTCAGTCTTGTATGAAACATTCAGTTTGGTTGCTCCAGTCACATTTTATTAGGCAATATAGCACAGACTGGCTTAGTGGCATTTTGGTGGATAACATGACAAATTTCTTTTCTTTTTAAGAAAAATGTAACCAAAACAAACACATGACAAAAATTGTGTCATGCTGAGAGAAAAGCCCCAGAGACACAAAATGATAAAGGTCAGGGTCTGGTACAGAAGTCTTATTTGCAAGTAAAAATACCGTGAAATGTGATTGTCAACAACCTAAGTGAGCCAGGCAGACTTCTGACAAATAATTCTGACAGTTCTCATGAACTGAAAAATGCCTTTTTTACCTCTCTTGGCTTTGGAAATGTTTCCCTCCTGCTTCCAGATGTGCAGAGAGTTAAGAGAGGTGTAAAATAACAAGGTGCTGTTAAAAATAACCTGCTCCAAGCAGAGTTTCTTTTGTGCTCCTTGGGGATGGATTCTCTGTCAGGAGTCTGACTCCCTAACAAACCTTCCTGGATTTAAATACACAGAATGATTTGTTTCTCTTTTGTAAACATTTTTTTCCCTTGTCCATTACTAAGCAAATTAAGAAATGTTTCTTCTTGCTCTCACGTCTTGGGCAGAAATGAATTTGAGTGTAGAAGAGACTTTGGTGAAGGTAAGGAGAAAGAAGAGTTGAGTGCTGAGTTGAATCTCTTCCTTTCTGCAATTTTTTTAAAAAAAGAAAATATCTTAAAACATTAAATTTGAAAAAAAAAATGAGAATTGTCATTGTGCTGCAAAAATTCTTTGACTCTTTCTCCAAAAGGCCAAAGAGGCAAAAACACTTCCTGAGTTCAACAGGCTCCTGCACTTTGGGGCTGGCACAGCTTTGCCTGAAGGTAACTCTGTTTTCCAGTTCAAATAGATCCACATTCCTGTTTGCTCACACAGAGCCTGTCCAGTGGGGAATTGTCTTGTCTGTCACAGTCATATTTTATGGAAAAATCTCTTTGCCCAGGATTTTCTCCTGGAAAGCTGAGAAGCCTCAGAGAAAAAGGAAACCAATTCTTATTTCATTTGCTTCTGCTGTGTTGTGCTCATGTAGAATGTGAGAGAGACTCATGTTTGGAGACTGTTTACCCACAGGTGGTTGTTTCATTGGTTTCATGTGAATTATTTTGATTTATTGGCCAGTCAGGGCCAAGCTGTGTCAGACTCTGGAGAGAGTCACGAGTTTTCATTATTATCTTTTTAGCCTTCTGTCTGTATCCTTTCTGTATTCTTTAGTATAGTATAGTTTAGTATTCTTTAATATAATATAGATAATAAAATAATCAATTAGCCTTCTGAGAACGAGGAGCCAGGTTCATCATTCCTCCCTGCCTCTGGGAACCCCACAAATATTGAGAATGAGGAGCCAGGTTCATCATTCCTCCCTTCCTCTGGGAACCCCACAAATACGACACTCATCCCGATCTCATCCCACCCAGTGCATGGGAGGTGTGAAAATGTGGCCATTTCAAATTCCAGCAGCAAGCAGGGAGGTCACTGTGGGGAGTGGCTGTCACACAGGGTCTGTCTCAAAGGTTGTTTTTCCCCCAAAACCCCGGCACTGCCTTGCCAGCAGTGTCACAGCTGCACTCCTGTGCCCCCCGAGCCTCCCCTCTCCTTTCTTCTTGGCTTGGCTCCTGTTTGCCATCACAGCCACACCTGCTGCACTCAGGAGTGACAGAAATTCCTCTGGGAGTTCACTGGCAGCTCAAGCTCCTGTTTTGGGCAGAGAAAAAGGGGAAGTGGAACTCTGGCTTTTCCTGTGCTTCACTGAGTCCCCGTGGCAGCTGCACCTCCCCGTACCAACAGCAGTTTGCCCCCTCTTCATCCTGAGCATTTCAAATGCTCCTGATTTTTCTTTCATGTTGTCCTGTGTGCAGGGCTTTGCACTCAGGATGAGACAGACTGCCATGCAAAATTGATGTTTTCACTTCTTGCCAGGGTTTCTAACTCAAAAGGGTTTCCCCCTGGCAGTTCTATCTCCAGATATTACCAACACATCTTCTGAAGTTGTAAAGGCCTCTGTACATTTGATGTCATGTGGACTTTGACCAGGTTTCAAAGGGAGATTGTATTTGCTGGGCAGGTTGTCAGTAGAACATAAAATATGAGTGAAATTGTAATTTTATGGCAGCTACCGTGGTTGTGTCACAAGCACTCTGTATCCTCCACAGCCAGATGAAAAACCAGTCTCTAAAAACATTTGATTGATCTTTTTTTTTTTTTTTTTTTCCTCCTAGTTAAGCCAGGAAAAAATCCTCAAAATCATGAACATGGTGAAAAATAAAGAAGTGAGCATTGAAGGAGCTCTGCATTTGGCACAGAAGGAGGTGTATGCTGGAAAGGTGAGGCTGCTCCTTTGATGAGTTTGGTAACACGTTCAGATGTTCTGGAGAGCCCTGCTGAGCTGAGAGGGTGTCTTGGTTGCTCTCCAGGATACAATCCTGGTTTGGGAATCACAAAGAGCCCAATTCCCAATCCGACAGGGCAGGAGCAGCTGGCTGGTGCTGCCTGTGCCCTGTGTGATGCTGCTCCATGGAAATGCTGGCATTGCCTGGGTTGAGGAGCTCAAACCCACACAAGGGTTGTTATTCCAAGGGTAACAACGAGTCCTGCATTAATAAATGTGGGGCAGAATCCCAGAACTGCAGAATCACAGACTGGTTTGGGTTGGAAGGGACCTTAAGTTCATCCTGTACCACATCCCTGCACTTCCCACTGTCCCAAGCCCTGTCCAACCTGGCCTTGGGCACTGCCAGGGATCCAGGGCCTGCCCACCCTCACAGGGAGGGATTTCCTCCCAATATCCCATTAAACCTCCTCAATTTCAGTGTGAAGCCATTCCCTGTGTGCTGTCCCTCCATCCCCTGTAAATCCTCTCTCTCCATCTTTCCTGCAGCTCCTTCAGGCTCTGCAAGGCTTCTCTTCTCCAGGGCTCACCACCCTCAGAGTAAAGAATTTCTTCCTCATATTCAATCCAAACTCACTCCCTGTCAGTGTGAAGCCATTCCCTGTGTCCTGTCCCTGCCCTTGGGAATAATCTTTCTCTCCACCTTCATTAAGGTGATTAACAAAAGTCAGGAGGATTTTTCCATCTGTCTCCACGTGGAATTCTCCTGCAGGGCTCCAGTGTTGTTTCTGCTCACAGAGAGATCTCACCTGAGCACAGCAGGATTTGGGTGGCCAAACTTCATCCCAGCATGAGATGTGTTCCTGATTTCTGTTCTGCTTTCCAGGATCCCCAGGATTTGTTAACTGGCTCCCAATTTAACTTCATTATCTACAAATACAAACACTACCGGTGGCAGAAGCGGATTCTGCAGGTAACCTTGACAATTCTCACTTTTGGTGCAGTGTATAAAATATAATAAAGCCAGCTTCTGTCAATAACACCTGATGGTGATTTCCTGTTTCATGAAGTCAGGGACAGAGGTTTCATGTTTTTTGCTGGATTTCACTAAAACTTCTTTCAGTTTGGACAACATTTGATAGTGAACAATCCAAATCATGCATGCTACGGGGTGGTTTTTATTTACTACATCTTAACTGTACAAAATATAAATTTTCCAGCATTATCCACCATTTCTTGGAATGAAAAGATTATTTCTTTAGACATAAAGTGGAAAAATGGAGAGACGTGTAGTAGATGTGGAAGTTATCAGTCTGGGAACCTGGATTAGCTTAATTTCAGTTCTCTAATTACCAGCAGCCTTCAAAAGTCAGAGATAATCTTGAGAAAGGTTCTGCTTTGGAGGTTTCCTGCTAGAAACAGGACCGAGGGAAAGGGCACAGTGTGGGAATTTGGTGGTGTGGTCTGTACAAGTTTTAACTTCTAACTTAGAACTGCTTTTCTAACCCCCTGCATTTCAGAGACCGAAGGAGTGAGGAACTGGACGAGTGGTTCTGCTGTTAGTTTGTGCTGAAAGGGAAGTTTCTGCTCTGGGTTTTGTGAGACAAGGAGAATTTAAAAAGAAATAATATCCCAGAGTGATAAATTGATGCATATTCATCAAAAGAGACATGTGGAAACACAGCTTGCAAGGAATATCTGGGCGGTTTTGTCACTAAAACAAACATTGGGCATTTTGTCACTAAAACAAACATTACATTCTTCATGGTGGAATGTAATTTTAAAATTATATTTATTCTGCTCTTTTATCTAAACACCTTCACCTGGCAAAATTGGGATTCTGCCTTTGCCTTCCAACAAAGATTTAGTAGTTTTTTTAACATCACTTGCCTGGAGTGATGCAGAACTTTCTCTCGCAGCTTGATTTCAGCAGCAGGACCATTTTTAACATCGAGAAGGGCACTATCAGGAAGCAGTTCCCTTTCTCACAAGTCAGAGGCTGCGAGGACTCGGAGAGGAGGCGTTTCAGCATCCTGTTCCACGGCAGGCAGCACTACGAGCTGGAGGCTGTGTCCCTGGATGACAAAAGGAAGGTGAGCTGGGGAAAGCGCTGCAGTGAATCCCAGCTGGGTGGAGGCTCCAGCACTGCTGGGCAGTGTGCAGGCAGCTGTGGCTGCATTTTCCTCCACAGAGAAAAGCAAGGCACAGCTTCCCAGCGATATTTTCTGGGAATCGCAGCAAGGAACCTCAGAGAAAGAAAAAACAATTTTTATTTCATTTGCTGTGCCTATGTTTGTGCCAAAGTAGAATGGAATATGAGGATTGTTTACCCAGAGTGATGGGGTTTTGTTTCTTTGACCAATCTCTGCAAGCTGTGTCCTGTCGGTCAGGAGACAGCCACGAGATTCTGAGCAGGGGAGTTGAGTGCTTGTGCAGATTCAGTTTAGATGTAGTGTAATATAATATAGAATAATATAGAATAACATAGAATAACATAGAATAATATAATATAATATAATGTAGAATAATATAACATAACATGACATAACATAACATAACATAATATTACATTATATTACATTATATTATATTACATTATATTACATTATATATAATATACTACTATTATAATGCTATAATACTATAATATAATTCTATAATAATACTTTGTTATAAAACAATAAAGTAATTAATTAGCCTTCTGATATCACTGGAGTCCTCCTCATGGTTTATCCCTGCCATGGGGGTCGCTTTGAATCCTATAGGCAGGGCAGGAGGGATGGATTTGTTCTGCTGGGACATGGAACCAAGGCAGTGTGAGCTCGGGGTGGAGCCTGGCCTCAGATTTTGGCACAGTTCAGAGGAGATGTAAAGGCAGCTCGAGATGAGATGGGAGAGTGGGGGCAGCTCTGCAGCCACAGCATGGCTGGAACTGCTCTGGAGTGTTAAAACAAGCAAACAAAGCTGGTGATGTGCACAGCTGAATCCTAATGGAGCTTTGCAAGCACTTTTTGTTCTCTGTATAAGATATTTCACAACGTGCCCCGTATTAAGGATGAATTAGGATTGTCCTCATGCTGAGAAAAGAGCCAGTGGTTCATCTTTGAGCATTGTCTGAGAATTTCAGCTGAATCAAGCCGAGTGTTGCGTGGGCTTGAACTGAGATGAGCAGAAACTTTGTCCTGGACTGCTTTGTACATGAATTTAAAAGTTCTGGTTTACAGTAACCCCTTCAGAGTAAAATTATATTCTCCTTAGACTGACAGGTTTAGGATTGTGGGGACAAAACCAAATTGCAGTTAAGGAGTTTTGCATCATAGAAAGACCTGGGTTATTTTATGCTGATTTATTTTACCCATTTGACTGTGGCCCTGTACTTGTAAAATCCAACTATTGATGCCTTATTCAAGGGAATTTATGTGGAAAACAGTTTTCTCTCTGCTGCCACTTATTATCTAGATAATCTACCTGCTGAGCAGAGTTATTCAGAGCAATTCTTACAAGAGACCAGCAGAGTCCTGCCCTGGGAGAGTTGCAGAATGTGATGTGATCCACGAAGGGCTGCTGGATCTGCAGCAGAACACCTTAACCTCCACTGAATGGGTGAAGTATGAGCTCTGGATTTTGTTCAAACTTCTGATAGATGCATTTTGATTTGAATGTGCTGATAGTAATTTTATTATTTAGTTGTTTTTTGAAGTATAAAGGTAGATGCCCAGTCTGCATGAGAAGGAAGCGCTACAATGAGCTGCCAGGGCACCCAGAAAACCAAAGTTGTGATCTGGAGCCTGCTGGGAGCATTGGCAGCACAAATCTCTAATGGTGATGGTGCTCAGAACCAATTTGATGCTGGAACTTTGTTTCTCTCATGACTTTTTCCCTCCATTCTCAGTAATCCAGTGGTTTTCCATGGTTTGCTCCCCATTCTGAGACAGCTCCTAAAACACCTGGGAATTTCTTAAACCATCAAAGGAGAGGAAGAGAGAGGAAAGAAATTCTGTCTAGCTAATGAAAAAAAATTCACATTGTAATTATCTGCACAGAGTAATTATCTCAAAAGACTTCACGCTTCACAGAAAATGATTTTAATTGGTTTTAAAAGGCTGCCACTGTTTGTGCTGTAAACACACCATCCTCGAGTGTGTCCAGGATTTGTTACCTTGCAACACTGAACAGGTTTGTTAACAAACAAAAATTGATTTCTATTTATCTTGTGAAGCAAAGCCCTTGTTGTGTTCTTCTCAATATTAATCCTCTCTCTTCTTCCTTTTTTTTTTTTTTAATTTTTTTTTCTGGCAAAGTAAGTGATGGTGGGAGCATCTGGAGATCCAATTAAACCATAAGTCCATGCTGGAAGAAAGGAGAGTTCAATAGCACTGCCAGCCCCATTAAACAATTCTTATCACTTTGACTGCTTGTATGGGAATTCATGCAATTTTTATTTTATGTTTAATTTGTTCTGGAGCAGCTAAACTTACTTAAATTCTTCACAGAACACCTCAATCAACCATCCACACCTTGAAGAGAGAGTGGAGGGAGAGTTTTGTAGAACTGCCAGAATGAAAAAGAAAGGCAGAAACCCTCCAGAAAAAGGAGGAGGCAAAATGTTAAATAAGAATAAATCCACAGCAAAGCCCAGCCTCTTGTTGGGACCTTAGTTAAAAGAGCAGGGCAGAATTCCAGAGGAGAGGCCAAAGCACAGGACTCTGCTGCAATGGAAGCTCTGCATGCTCAGGCCATTTCTTCCAGGATTAATTATAATTTAAAGAGCTTTTCTCTAAATTTTGGCACAGTCACCTCTGCTGGAAGCCCTCAAGAGCAGAATACTTTAAGCCTTTCCTGCCTAGTGACTCCAGGGAATGATGGGTCCAGGATGAGTTGCCACGGAGTAACAGGAGTTCCAGGAGAGGGATATTGGGCTGGATGATGGGGAACTAAATTTGGGGATTTGTTTATAGCTTGGTGGAGTGAAACCTGGAAGGCACAGAAACTCTGGAGCCTTATGCACTGCTGGAATCCACAGATGGATTCCTTTAAAAGCTCAGAGTCCCAAAGATCCACTACCCCAAATAAACAAGAGGAGCAAATGGAGAGGGAGGGACAGAGCGTGGCTGAAAAATCAACAGGACTTGAGTGATTTTGAATTGATGATCAGATTTAATTTTAGCTCTCACTGGGCATGGCAGGCTGCTCAGATTTTATGTCACACTTTCTTTAGGTGTCAGATGAAAACAAGAAACTCTCAAATAAGAACATCTCAAAGATTTTATTCTCTGCTATTGATATTTTTGACTGTTCCATGGAGGATGCTGTAAAAATGTGGAGATTTATTGACATTGGAAGGTGCTTTAACAAGGGCCAGGCTGTGTAAAGAAGACAGCAGTGAGGAATGAGCTGTGTCTCCATCCCTTGTCCCCCAGGTGCCTGGCAGAGCTGCGGGAAGGAGAATTGGCCTTGTACTGCCTGGGGCTGGGGGGCAGGAGCCCTGCAGCCACAATTCCCCTGGCAGCTGTGAGCGTGGGGGAGAGCAGGGACAGTGGCTGCAGCACCTTCTCCCTGCACACCAGAGACCACCACTACCTGTGAGTACATGATTAATGATCTGGTGCAGCAGAGCTGTGGCCACATTTCTCTCCACAGAGAAAAGCAAGGGACAGCTTCTCAAGGATATTTTCTGGGAATTGCAGTGAGGAGCTTCAGAGAAATAAAAGACAATTTTTATTTCATTTGCTGCGCCTGTGTTTGTGCAGAAATAGAATGGAATATGGAGATTGTTTACCCAGAGTGATGGGGTTTTGTTTCTTTGACCCATCTCTGCAAGCTGTGTCCTGTCAGTCAGGAGACAGCCACGAGATCTGGTTGAGTTCTTGTGTAGATTCAGTTTAGATGCAGTGTAATATAGAATAATATAGCATAATAAAGTAATTAATTAGCCCTCTGATATCGATGGAGTCCTGCTTGTCATTTCTCCCTGCCATGGAGGTTGCCTTGAATCCTGTACAGAGGTGTCTTTATCCTCAGCAGTGAGAGTTTTGGCATATCCTTATTATAATGGACATTACTCAGACCAAAAGTTAATTTGTTCCTGAGAATTCTGATTAATCTTCCTGCAAGTGCTGCAAACCACAGTCCTTAAATTAATGAATAAAAAGATAAAGTTCCAAAATGCCAGTAGGTTCAAAATTCTGGAGATTTTGAGTGGAACACTAGAGGAAAATGAGAGTTCTGAGAGATTTCCATGCTAAATTCAAGGCCAGTGTAGGAGAAAATACAAATAAAAGCAAAGTTCTCTAATGGATTCTTGTTGAAAAAGGACATTCTTGCCACAAAGGGAGCAGGTATCAGTAAGAGACAAGAAAATCATCCTCAGATTTGTTTTTCCTTCATGACTGCTATGTAAATTTAAAGTAAATATGAAGACTGAGATTTTGCCTTATGGTAGCAGGTGCTAAATATTTTATATTCTGGTTGTTTGGGGTTTTTTTTGTTTTTTAAATTTTTTTAAAAATTCTGCTAAGCATAGATGAGATACTTTGGTGATTTCTGTTCCCTTGAGCATTTCCTTCCAAGTAACCCCAGAATCCTTTTTCTCCAGACATTTTTCTTAAGAGTTTCCGTATAAAACCAAGTGAGCTGAAGGACAAACTCTTCATCATCCACGAGGAGAGTGGTGGGCTCACAGATGAGCAGATTACAGCACTGAGAAGGTAATTTTGGGGGGAATTGTTTGGGTTTGGGACCTTTTGGAGAAGGCAGAATCTTCTGCAAGTGATGTGAAGTTTGGAAAGTTGGTTGGGAGAGGAGGAAGGCAGAGAAGAGTTAAAGGAGCTTTGTGGGATGGTGGGAATTGGGAATATTTGTGTGAGTGGCAGGGATTGGGGCTTTAGAGCAGGGTGGACATTTCTGCAGCTGGACAGATTTCAGTGTGAGCAAACTATTGGGGTGTGAAATCCACATGAACTGGATTTTATCTTTTTGAATAATTTTGAATAGTTTCCTTCCTTGTAGAAGGAAAGGAAAGAAGTGGGATCCTGGAGTGGGATCTGTTCCATCCCAGTCCCCCTGTGATATTTGGGGCATTTTAATAAACATTTTTACATGCAGAAGCTTGGTGTGAAACTGATTCTTGCTTCAAAATGAGACAAAAAATGAATGTTAGCTAAAGAAAACTGGGGAAAAGAGGACACTGACAGAGAAAGTGAGGAAGTAAATAATTGATGTTTCTGTTGCTTGAGGAATCAGTTTAATTTTGGCCTTAAAATCCTGATCTGAGACAGTAATTTTGAAGTCTGCAGAATCAGATCTGTGTTTGGGAAGTGATGTCAGGGACATGAAACATGGAATTAATGTCATTCTGTGTCATGCTTTTTGAGGTATGAAGGGACATGGGTGGGACACTGGCTATTTAAATGGTTTTGATTGAGTCAAAACCAAAAATATCCTTGTTAGCAGTGTCTTATTAGATAATAACTCCTTAAAAGTTAAAAGGGTATTGTGACCTTCTGAACCACGCTGTAATGATGTGAGCTGAGCTCACCCTTCCTACCTGTGTAGAAAATAAGAAAAATAAACAGCATTATCAAAAATCAACTCAAAAGTCCCATCTCAAATTCCTTCCAAAATTCCCCACAAGTGAATTGTCACACTCAGGATTCAGTCCTGGCACTGCAGCCTCAGTCCAGGATCTCCAGGCTGCTGAAATTGCTGTGGCATCACTGATTTATGGCCTCTGGGGTCTTTGCCATCAGACAATAATAATAATAATGATGGCAATGAAGCTTGAAATATCATATTTTTTTTTCCTTGAAGTCTTTCTTTGATGGCAATAATGCTGAGGGAATATTCCCAGCAGTGGAATGTGTAAGGGGTATTGATTGTTGTATTGCTCTGTGCTGTATAATTTCAAGGATTCAAGCCATGTTATCTGGCTTCAAGGATTCTGTCCCTGGGATTGTTATTTACTGCCAAAATCGATGAATCCATGTGCAAATCTTGCACTGAGAGGAAGCAATTTTTTTTTTCCATCCTGAGAGTTTTGAGTGTAACTGAAACAGTTGAGATTCATCTCAAAATGAAGGCTTGTGTGGTGTTTGTGAGGGTCCCAGGACGAGGGAAGAGATGAATCTGACTCCATGTTCTCAGAAGGCTGATATATTATATTATATATTATATATATTATATTATATTATATTATATTATGTTATGTTATGTTATGTTATATCATATTATATTAATGCTATACTAAAACTGTACTAAACTATAGAGAAAGGATACATCAGAAGGCTTAACAAGAATGAATAATAAAAACTCATGACAGTCCAGGGCTGGAAAGTTCCTCTCAGTGCAAATTGTACCTGTCAGGGTGTCTGAGCCAGGGCACAGTGTCAAAATCCTACTATCAGAGAGTGAAAAATATTTAAAGATGTCAAAAATCCTTCTATCGGAGTGATGCCTTGGGCAGGCTGAGCTGGAACAGAGGGTGGACAGAGCTAGATAACAGAAATGATCCTTGTGGGTCCCTTCAGCCCAGGATATTCTGTGATTATGAGATAACAGAAATGATCCTTTGTGGGTCCCTTCAGCCCAGGATATTCTTTGATTATGACATAACAGAGATAAGAAAGGATCCAACCTCTTTGGAAATCAGGGCCTGAACTCCTCTATCTCATGATTTCACCTTTTTTAAAATATTCTGTCATTCTAAATTCTCTGAATGTCTGCAGGTGGACATTCTGGCTGTTTTCAAGCCTTATCTACATGGAATCATCTCCAGATATCCAGAGGTGTCTGCAGATCACTCTTGCTTCCCATCTCCCAGTTGGTTCAAATGCCTCCAAAGGATAAGCAGTAAATATGAACCACAAAAACCACACAAAATGTAGGAAACTCCAGGGCAAGGAATGGCAGAATTATTTTATCAGAATACAGAATGAAAAGGACCCCTAATTTTAATTTTCTCTTCACAGATATTTGCCCACACCCAAAGATGCAGAAAGGTACCTGTCCTTCAAGGGGCCTTGCTCAGAGCTGCACGTGGTTGACCAGTTTATGTTAGAGGTGAGGAGTTTCAATGTTAAAAGACACCACATCCTAGTTTTAGGACATTCTCCAAGCTAAAACCACTGCAAGAAGCTGTTGTTTAGAACTCAAATTTACAGTCTCACCCAGAATCAGTATGAAAGGATTATTCTGATGAAGACTTGGGACAGATAGATAACAAAAAGAGAATAATGGATCCCTTTGTGTCTCCAAGTCACACTCCCTCCTCTTCCTACAGAGCATTTATCCTGATCTAAATCTAGATTCCCAAAATCTAGAAGCCATAATCTATAAAATTACAGGTATTTAGCCATTTTTGCTCACAAGAAAGGACTGCACTTGATTTTAATCATGTCTGCCCAGGAGCATACAGTGAATTTGCAGGCCTGTGCCAGAGTGTATCCACAGGGTCAAGGCCCAGAATAAAATGAATAAATGAGCACAGAAATTAGGCAAACAATGGCCCAGCTGAATTGCTCAGTAAATAATGAAAGGAATATGCATGTTTTGGTATAAATGTGAGTTTTTTATTCCTGTTCTGCTCCATTCTGTGCAGATGTGTAAAATCCCCCAGCTGGGCCAGAGGCTGGATCTGCTGCTCAGCATCCGTGAGCTCCCCGAGAGCATCAGAGACCTGGAGCCTGTGAGTACTGGAGCCCTCCTGGTGTGTCTGTCATCCTGGCACTTTGATAAGAGAGGCCCAAATCACACATTTCAAGGCTGTGTAGTTTGGGAGGATTATTTTTGGGGTTTTTTTTTTTCCACTTGTGTGTTTGATATCATCCTTATTCCACCAAGGTTCAGGGTACTGGGCGTGGCAGTAGGAGAGACTTCCACAAAAGAGAGAGAAAAGAACAGGAAGAGATCTTCAACATTTTACTGGCGATATTAAACCTTCCTCCTTTGGATGAGGCAGAAGTGAATTTCACCTTTAAAATTCAATTCCCTTTGTGGGGAGGTTCTGGCCCCATGAGCTGAAAGAATCAGTCTAAGGCAAGGAGGAAGTTCATTTGACAAATCTCCAGGAGATTTATTATTTCCTGAAGACTGAAGGAGCTGTTCCCCCTAAGGATTACAGCTCTGGACTGCAATTTTTGGGAGCCAGAGCCCAAGTCCCTCTCTGCCTTTTCCCAGGATGACCTAGGGGTGGGGGGATGCAAACAAACAAGTGCCACTCTGGTGCCTGGGTCCTGCTGTTCCAAGCCCTGCCTTACCTGCCAGCTTTTGTCCATGCTTTGATTCAAAACAAGCATTTCCACACCACAAAAATGCTTCAGAGGTTTTGCCCTCGTTCTGCACGGGAATGAAAAGAAAATGTGGAAGTTCTGTGAGTTATCCTTTGCCTGGCTGTGATTCAAAGCACAGTAGCAGTGAGGGAAGCTCGGAAGAGGAGCAGATGGAAAGCACAGGGGAGATGCAGACATTCCTGACCCTGCCTGGAGCAGCTGCACCTCTGCTGTCCTCCACTAAAGCCAAATATTGAATATTTGGAAGTAATTCCATGCACTGTTTGCTTTGATGGATATTTAATGTTCACTGAAGAGCTAATTAGTGTCTAAATGTGTTCTTATACACGCTAGCACGTATTTTAAACCACAAAATATACACCTAAAATCCTAAGGGGCAATGTCAGTTTTGGCTTTCAGCAACCTCTGGCCCTGAGCTGGGCTATAAATTCTTTAACAACAGCTTTCAGTGCACCCATGTGCTTCATCCTCTCCCTGTTTTTAAATTTCTGTGTTGGTGACTGATGAAAAGAGGTGTGGTACTAAAAAAATACAGATTTTTTAGCTGAAAACAAAATCCCCTCCTGTGCCTGTAGGCCTAGAAGGGAGGTGGCTTCCCTGGGAAAACTGAATTATACTGAGTTTGAGTACAGGAATTTATTATTCTTCCTTGTGGGGAAACTGTGCTAAGAATTTTGATAAGAGCATTGAGCTGGTGTAAATGGAAAGGAGGGAGGTGAAGGATGGAGCTCCAGACTCTGCTTCCCCTGATCCCTGAAATTTGGGCACCCAAACAGCAAAAGCCTTTTGTGCACAGGAGCTGCAGTTGTTTTGGCAGCCACAAAGGATGTGACTCCTTTTTGGGGTGGCTGTGCCAGCACAGCTTTGTCTGGGGGAGTTTGGCCTTGCTGAAAATCCCTGAGGGATTTTGGCACTCTAGGACACGAAACAGAAAGACGAGGACAATGGGTTTTCTAAGGTGAAAAAGAGGGAAGTTTAGTTCTGACTCTAACATTTATAGACTTCCAAAAGTGACAGTGGGTTGGAGGGTGACAGTGCCACCTCTCCAATGGCACTGCATAAAGCAACAGTCCATCAAATTTCTCCCCCTCCAGAAAAGAATGCAAAACAATTATTTACATAAAGTCTGTGAGAAAGTTTGTTACAAGAAGGTCAAGATCAGAAGGCTTAGAAGAACTCAAAAGAACAGGGTGACAGGATTGGGACAGGGAGGTGGGGACAGTGAGGGGTGGCACAGGGGGCACAGACACCACGGGTTTATCCCCATTTTCAGCCTGTCTGAGGAAGGTCTGTCAATGTGTTTGTGGGTCCCAGGACAAGGGAAGAGATGAATCTGACTCCATGTTTCTTAGAAGGCTGATATTATATATAGAGAGAAAGGAATACATCAGAAGGTGAGGAGAGGAAAGGAAAAAAGGAATGAATTATAATAAAAACCCGTGACAGACTCAGAGAGTCCAACACAGCTGGACTGGGATTGGTCATTAAGCAAAAACAATTCACATGGAACAATCAAAGATGCACCTGTAGGTAAACAACCTCCAGACCACATTCCAAAGCCATCAGATTGTCATTGTTTACATTTCTTTTCTGAGAATTTTTCTCAGCTTCTCACGAGAAAAATCCTGGCAAAGGTATTTTTCAGACAATGTCATGGTGACAAAGGTCTGTGTGTTCCAGCTGATCATCCAGAACATCCAGGCAAGCAGGCAGCTGCAGTCCAGCCCCAAGTTTGTTGCTGTCTTGGAGTACATTTTGGCCATGGGGAACCACCTGAATGAGAAAGCTGGGAAAGAGGTGGCCAGAGGATTCCGACTGTCATCTCTGGCCAAAGTGAGTAAATGTCTTCTTGTGATTAAAGTCATCCTGTTCTGAGGTTTGCTAGCCTTAGTAGGCTAATATTTGTTAGCATGTTAATGCTATAAAATAATAAATTTAATTATTTTCATGCGGAGAGAGGCAATAATTCCTAAAGAGGAGCTCAGATTTTACCACCTGCCCTGGGTTAGAGGAGAATAAACTGCTGTTGAGCACTGAGTTCTCTCGTGCCTGGGATCACAAGCTGTGCTCCCCATTCAGGCAGCAGCTCTGGCTCTGTGCTGCTGAATGTGCCTCTAATGAGGCAGAACATCAAAATGCTGCCTGCCCTGATATTAAAATCCCTTGGCATCAGGAATTGTGTGAGCTGCAGGCCCTGGTTAGACAGCAGGTATGAGCCAGGAATGTGTGTGAAGCAGCAACATGAAAAGCAGAGGTTTGATTCTGTTGTTTTCTATTCTTGCCAAATACACCTGGGTGTGGTATTTTGGGATCCCCACACGATGGTGAGGAAAGGAAGGAATCTGACTCCATGTTCTTAGAAGGATTATATTATATTATATTATATTATATTATATTATATCTATACTAAAGAATAGAGAAAAGATACAGACAGAAAGCTAAAGGATAACAATGAAAACTCATGACTCTCTGCTCCAGAGCCTCGACACAGCTGGATTGGTCAATAAGTAAAAACAATTCACCTGTTGGATAAACAATCTCCAAACCACATTCCAAAGCAGCAAAACACAGGAGAAGCAAATTAGATAATTTTGTTTTTCCTTTTCCTCTGAGGCTTCTCAGCTTCCCAGGAGAGAAACCCTGGCGAAGGGATTTTTCCAGAAAATGTGACAGTGACTCCTGGGTTCTGTCAGCATCTCTGCTGATTCTTTTTTGGTGTTTTATTTATTTTTGAGGGCTGATAGCTCAGGGTGTGTTTTTGCTCTGCTCTGTTGCAGCTCTCTCTGCTGAGGGGCAGGGACAGGACGTTCACCCTTCTCCACGCCCTGGTGGAACAGATCCTCCTGCACCAGCCCGAGCTGGCCACCTTTCCTCAGGAGCTGACAGAGTTTGAAGCTGTTCCTGATGGTGAGAGGAGGGAAGGGGGGGAAATAATCAACAAATAAAAAATGAAGTCCTTCAACTTCTGTGCTTCTCACTGTATAAATGAAATTATCATTATAAATGTCATCATCATGATTTTCCCCTCTTCCTTTCCAGCGTCCATGAAGGGCCTCAGTGCTGAAGTTGATGGTATGTAAATGTGGTTTCTACATTCACAGGCAGATTTTCGTGCACTGTGCAGTCATTTGGAACGGGTTTTCACTGCACCTCTGTAGTTTGTAAAGAGAGTTAAAGGTTCAGAACATTGAGGTGAAGTGTTGCCATGGAGATGCTTAACCTGCCATGTTACTGTGAGGAATTAAAAAAAGAAAAGAAATATTGAAGTGCGTCCAGGTGGTTTAGAAATGTAAAAAAAAATGTACTGGCCATGGTAAATAGAGTTTATCATAAAATACAAAAGTTAAGTGGTACAAGTGCTCCATTACAGTGATGGCTGGGAGGGTCTCTGGGAGATGGGAGTGGGAATGCAGCGGGAGAAACTTCCTGGAGTTCGAGAACTTTCTGGAAACAAACTGGTTTCCTTCTCTGAAAAGGACTCCAGCACCAGTGAAATCAACAGGAGGGGCAGAACAAGGTTGTTGAAATGGAAGATGGATTTTGTAGGATGGATTTTGTAGGATGGATTTCCTGCTCTCCATGGAACAGTCCCATGACCTGTGAGCTCAGTGGGTTTTACACTGAACCCTTTGAGAGCTGACAGCAGAGTGTCAGTGGGTGGAAAATTTTATGTTGAAATCTATAAAAATCTGTGTTTTGAAGGTGTGACATGTGTGTTGGCCATAAGTCCAGACCAATATTGCCAATTTCAGCCTTTGGTAACAGATCTGAATGATGCTCACTCTCACTTTTGGGTTGGCAAACCCTTGCACCCCTTCTGGGCCCTGGGGTCAGCTCTGGGAGCAGCTCGAGGCTCCTGCAGTGTGCTTTATCCTGCTCCAAGGAATTCCAATCCACCTTTTAGGAGACAGAAATCACTAAATGCAACATTTACCTTCAGTAAACAATTCAAAACCAGTGAGTATTTTAAAGGCAGTTTTGGGAAATGCTGGGCAAAGCTGTGAAATGGGAACAGAACTGTTGGAGATGTTCAAAGAGGGGCCTCAGTGGTGCCTTGGGCAGGCTGAGCTAACCCGAGGCATCACCAGGGCAGCCAGGTGGGATTGCCTGGGCTCTTCCCTCCGTGGATTCCTGCTCTGCCAGGGCAGTCCCAGCAGGGCACAGAGGGAGGAGATGCACCAAAATCCGAGGAAGCAGCTTCTGCCAGCTCCAGGAACACCCTGGAGGAGCTGCAGGAGCTGCCAGAGCCCAGGCTGTGCCCTCTGTCCCAGCTGACAAGAATTCTTACTGATTTCTTACTGTTCCACAGAGGATCTTTATTCTTTTGTCTTTAAAGGAACCCAGAGTTTCCTACACAAAATGTGGCTTTTCAGGCTGTTATTTCCACGGCTGATCCCAGTGCTCATCCTAGGGAAGGTCAGGTTTATGCTGCTGCATTCCCACGCTCTCGACCTCTGCATTATCCTGCACTTGCAGGGATCGGATCACATTTTTTTCCCTGAGGAAATGCCTCCTTCAGGAGCTCTACCTCCCACCAGGAACTTAGCACTCCTAGATAAATGTACTGCAGACCCACATTCTCTTTTATTTTCCTTGTGCCCTAAATGAGGCAATTGCAGCCCTTTGGACAGCTCTTCATGCTGGTGAAATTCCTCATTTTCTGTTCCTTTTTTTTTAGTTTTAAAAAAAGAATTGGAGAACCTTGTCCAGTGCAGGAGGCTCCTCAAACCCAAAGCAAGCAAGGCAACGCCCCAGGAGTCCCAGTTCTGCAAGGAACTAAAGGTAAATCAAGCACAACCTCCCTGTGGGCTGGAGTAAGGGAGGAGTAACCTGGGAGTTAGTGCTGACACCTGGGAATAAGGAGAATTTGAGGGAAAGTGCCTTTTTATTCCCTTCTGAGGGTGTCTCATGTTGTCATTTGCAGTGTGGGAAGGGTTTTCAGGGTTTCTGCACCCTGTTTTCCCTTCCCAGGCAAGGATGAGGAGCAGGCAGCCCTTGAGAAGCACTAACAGGAATTTTAGAGTGAATTTTAAAGAATTTCTTCTGCCCTCAGATAGAAGAGGGTTTAGAGAGGATCAAAGAATCATGGAATGGTTTGGAAGGGACCTTAAAGATCATCCTTAGGATCACGCCCTGGACCACAGAATCATCCAGTCCTGATTATCCTTCAATCATTTCCAATCCTTCAGGTTGGAAAAGCCCTTGAAGAGCACAGAATGCAAAGCCAGCAGAGCTGACCCGTGTCCCCAAATGCCACCTCCCCTTCCTCTGAGCCCTGCAGGGCTGGGGGCTCCACCTCTGCCTTGGGCAGCTGTGCCAGGGCTGGGAATCCTTTTGGATGGGAAATTCATCCTGAAATCCAACCCAGCCCTGCCTGGGCAGCTGTGCCAGGGCTGGGAATCCTTTTGGATGGAGAAATTCATCCTGAAATGCCACCAACCCTGCCTGGGCAGCTGTGCCAGGGCTGGGAATCCTTTTGGATGGAGAAATTCTTCCTGGAATCCAACCTAAATCTGCCCTGGTCAGCTGTGCCAGCCCTGCAGAGCCTTTTGGATGGAGAAATTCATCCTGAAATCCAACCCAGCCCTGCCTGGGCAGCTGTGCCAGGGCTGGGAATCCTTTTGGATGGAGAAATTCATCCTGAAATCCAACCCAGCCCTGCCTTGGGCAGCTGTGCCAGGGTGGGAATCCTTTTGGATGGAGAAATTCTTCCTGGAATCCAACCTAAATCTGCCCTGGTCAGCTGTGCCAGCCCTGCAGAGCCTTTTGGATGGAGAAATTCATCCTGAAATCCCACCAAGCCTGCCCTGGGCAGCTGTGCCAGGGCTGGGAATCCTTTTGGATGGGAAATCCATCCTGGAATCCAACCCAAGCCTGCCCTGGAGGGCTGCTGGCAGCTCAGGTGTCCCCACTCTGAGTGGCCACGTCCACCTGTGCTGTCCCACACCTCTTTGTGCTTCCAGGTGTTTCTTTCACAGTTGTTTCGTCTTCTATAAATAACATTAATTAATAGTTACTACTGTTAATACTGCATAAATGTTTAAAAAAATATTCATTTCCTCAAACACTGACTACTAATATATTAATTATATAATATAAATGTACTGATTTTTATAATAAACATTATTTATAAAGTATTATTATAGTATTTATAACCAATTTTCATTATAGTATTTATAACCAATTTTCATATACTTTATCATCTGTTTATATAATCAGCTATAAAACACATATATTTTCAAGATCCTACTTTTTATTCTCCAACTACTTATACTCACTTAAACCAAGTTAACCCTCTAATTAGTCCCTACACTAACTCCATAGTTTAACTCAATACTAGCTCATAATTTTAAATGGTTTTCCGAATTCAAAAAGAAAAAAAAAATCTAAAATCTGGGTGTTACAAACAATGCAAAATGAAGAAATTTTATTTCCAGGCTTGTTTCTAAAGCTCTGTTTCTGCCCCTTAAGCACCTGGAACTGGCAGTGTTTGTTGCACAGGAAAAAAGGCCAAATATTCTGGAAATCAGGGCCTTGTGGTGCTTCTCTGGCTCTGCCACTTTTTAGGTTTTGTCATTTTATAATACACTTAAAATTCTCTAATGTTAATGTTCCTTTTATTTTTTTTTTTTTGTCTTTGATGTCTTAATTCTTGCAAGGGAATGTGTGTGCTTCTCTTTTGTGAAATGTGAAATTTTTATGACATGAAAATCTCACCCTGAATGATTTTGTTTTCACTGCTGTTTAATTCCTGCTTTAATCCTATGCTCCTACAGCAAATTAAGGAGTTTTATTTTATTACAGGATTTAATTCAGAAATATGAAGGAGATCTCTCCCAGCTGTCAAAAAGATGTGAGGAAATGAAGAAGCTTTATAGCAACGTGCTGGTACATATCACATTAAAATGCAATGAAAATAATGCTACATTTCTTTTTTAAAAGGGAAGAAAGGAGGGGAAAGCAGTGCAAGAAATTCCCACTTGCCATATATTTATTCTGGCTGTAGGAAAAGAAAGAAAATCCCATATTTAACAGTGGTCAGAGATCTTAAGGAAAGGGACAGAAATGCAGTGGTAACCTCTGAAACTGGAGCAACATCCCGGTCCTGGGATTAGGACATTTGGTACACATTTTCTTTCATGAATGGATTCACCTACCAAGCTGCAGAGCCAGAAAACTTCAGGATTTGCTGAATTTTCTCCTCTCCAGCTGGAGATTTGTGGTCCAGCCAGAGAGATTAACCCAGGTTACTGAGGTAATTCAGTGTCAGCTCCCTAGATCACTTTTATTTGGGATATTTTGGATCTCAGTTCCCTGGAGACTTCAGACAGCTCAAAGTTTGCTTCTTCCTCCTCTTCCCCTTCTTCTTTTACCTCTTCTTTCTCTTTTTCTTTATATTAATATGAACAATAATGGAGGAATTTCACTTTTCTCTGCTCTTTGAATTTCATTAAGCTCCTGGCTTGGATCACTCAGGTGTGCTGAAGTGAAATATTCTTTATTTCCAATTGCAGGTGAGGTTTGGGGAGGCGGCAGACCTGGACTCCCAGGAGCTCTTTGGGGGGATCTCTTCCTTCATCTGCGAGTTCAGGAAGGCTTGTGCTGAAGTCACACCATGAGAACACACATTTTATGGGCAGGTGAGGGAAGGAGGAGCCCAGGAAACAATTTTTAATTGTTTTTTTCATTTATTGATAAGCAGCACCTTGCCAAGCTCACCTGTGCAGCAGAACACCTTGATTTTGAGAGACATTCCATTTCAAATCTGTAATTTTATGTGGTATTTAACCTGTAATATCCCAGGTCACTGATGATCCTCTCAATTTTGTGCTTTTTACCTTGAGATTCCCATATATTGAAAAAACCCCCACTTTTGACCTTTTATAATTTCTCTTTTCAGTCATTTCCTTTGAATACCCTGACTTCTGACCCAGTTTTAATTATTATTTTCATTATTCTGTATGGTGATCTAATTTCTAGAAAATACTTCACACATTTGTATAATGAAATGGGGAGCTGTTACCCACAGAGGGGAATATTTAAACAGATTCTTGTTTATTTTGCTATTAAAACATTGCAAACTTACTATGTAATGAAGAAAGTGTCTGGCTGAGTGCTTTATTTTGCCTTGTCCCCACTAAGCAGGATGAAAAAATAGCACTTTTTATGGCAAATGTCATGTATTTTGCCATAAATGCTACAGGAATTAATCAATATATAAGAGTTGCATTGGCAGGAAGAGAAGAACATCAGAGCAGCAAAATAAAAACTGTCATGAAGCATCTAAGGAATGGATATGAGAGGGAATTATCCATGGTTTTTATAAGGGGAAATATTTCTGTTGTGTTTGTTGGCTTTTACCTGTTTATAATTAGAATAATTACCTGGAGCTCAATGTATGGGAGGAAAAGGAGGCCTAGAGATGCAAAGACAAAAATGTGTTTAGCATTAAAAGCAGCAAACAGTTGTAAAAGGGCATTGATAAAATCTGGCATTTTCCCTCCCAGGTTTGCAAGCAGTGTGGGCTGAGAGAAAAGTGAATCTGATTTCTTTCAGGAAAGTATTCTGATTTATTTTGGGCCTTTCTGCCCAGGGTTTGGGCTTGGATGGAAATGCTGAGCACGGAGAGGAGCTGGGGCTGAGCCCCTGAAGGCTCAGCTGGCCTCAGCACCCCAGCAGCAGAGCCCCCTCTGAGCTGGAGTTTAACCCTTCCTTCTCCACCAGCTGGAGTTTAACCCTTCCTTCCCCACCAGCTGGAGTTTAACCCTTCCTTCCCCACCAGCTGGAATTTAACTCTTCCTTCTCCACCCAGCTGGAATTGAATCCTTCCCCACCCAGCTGGAATTTAACACTTCCCCACCTGGAATTTAACTCTTCCCCACCCAGCTGGAATTTAACCCTTCCCTCTCCACCCAGCTGGAATTTAACTCTTCTCCACCAAACTGGAATTTAACCCTTCTCCACCAGCTGGAATTTAACTCTTCTCCACCAAACTGGAATTTAACCCTTCCCCACCCAGCTGGAATTTAACCCTTCCCCACCAGCTGGAATTTAACCCTTCCTTCCCCACCAAGCTGGAATTTAACCCTTCCTTCTCCACCAAGCTAGAATTTAACCCTTCTCCACCCAGCTGGAATTGAATCCTTCCCCACCCAGCTGGAATTTAACCCTTCCTTCTCCACCAAGCTAGAATTTAACCCTTCTCCACCCAGCTGGAATTTAACCCTTCCTTCTCTACCTCAGCATCCCCTCTGCTGCTCCAGGTGCTGTCGTTGTGTTCGGGGGTCCCAGGACGAGGGAAGAGATGAAAATCTTGACTCCATGTTTCAGAAGGCTGATTTATTATTTTATGACATTCTATTATATTAAAAATGCTATACTAAAAGAAATAGAGAAATGATACAGACAGAAAGCCAGGAAAAGATGGGATGGGATGGAATGGAATGGAATGGAATGGAGTGGAATGGAATGGAATAAGGAATAACAAAAACCCGTGGCTCTCAGAGAGTCCACACAGCTGGACCATGGTTGGTCATTAAGTAGAAACAACCAACACAGACCAATCAAAGATGCACCTTTTGCATTCCACAGCAAAAGCAGATAATTATTGTTTTTCTTTCCCTCTGAGGTTTCTGGAGACAAAAAATCCTGGCAAAGGATTTTTCAGAAAAGACCATGGTGACAAGGGGAGAGCCCAGGAGCTCAGGGGACAGAGCCTGGCTGCTGCTGCACAGAGAATTTCAGGGCTAAGGGTGACCACCAGCACTGCAGGGATGCTTGGACACTGCTGGAAGGTGGGGATGGAAGATTTTTTCCATGTCTGAGCCAGAAAAATGTCACATTTGGGTATTCCAGCAGTCTTGTTAGGGCTGTGCTCCCAGTTACCCTCCCCAGAGGCAAAAGGAATGCAACAGAACCAAAATTAGCACTCCTGAGACTTATTTCACATAAAAAAACATTTGCAGAAGCAATTCAAGTGTTTAATTTCACACCAAGCTGGCTGTGTTTGCCTCGAGTCAGCATCAGGGCAGTGACACCTGCAGGATCTGCAGCTCCCACCCCTTGTTCTGCCTGAGAGAGGAAAATTCAATTCCTTCTTGGTTCCTTGCAGCCCTGTTCCACAGTGCCCTGCCCTGAGAGCACCACTGCCAGCCTTGGATGTGTGTGAGCACAGCTCCAAAATCTGAATTCTCTTCATTTCCATGGGATGTGTGTGATCAGCCTTGGATGTGTGTGAGCACAGCTCCAAAATCTGAATTCTCTTCATTTCCATGGGATGTGTGTGATCAGCCTTGGATGTGTGTGAGCACAGCTCCAAAATCTGAATTCTCTTCATTTCCATGGGATGTGTGTGATCAGCCTTGGATGTGTGTGAGCACAGCTCCAAAATCTGAATTCTCTTCATTTCCATGGGACTCCTGTCAGATAATCCTGGATCCCAGAGCCATTTCCATGGCTTCAGGATCCCTGCATCCCTGAGCAGCATTTGTGATGCTCATGATAAGGTTCATGGTTTTTCAGCTCCAAAATCCTGCTAAGTCTCTTTTAACTAAAGATTTTTTCCTTTTTTTTTTTTCTCTCATTACTTTTTTTCCCCCAAGTCTTTCTTCTCCATTATTCTATTTAACAGCTTGTACTTTTTTTATAGCTCAGCTGGCAAGGCCTCTCCCAATTAAAAATATATCCTGCCCAGTGGTCGATAGCTGTGCCTTTGTGTGAACATCCTGGAGCATTAATTAAAAAAAATTAATTAAAAATTTAAAAAGTACCTTCTTGACATGAAGCTCTATCCCCTTCAGAGAGCACAAAGCTTTCCTATGGAGTGAGAGCTGATTCCATTTTCCTAAATAAGCTGCTCCTTCAGTGCCTGGGAGCTTGAGACATCCTGATTTATATGTAAAAATAACTTGCTCCCTACCTCATTCTTTATTTTTAAACTTATTTAGCATAAGGCTGGGGGTTTTCAGCTCTCTTAAATTGTATTGTTGTGTTTTAGTGGCATAGAGAATAATGCTTTTTACACCTCAACATTTATTTGGGATTATACAGATGAGCTCCAAGGCTCCCTGTGGATAATGTCCTGGGAATCCCTCCTCAGCAGGTGATGGTTTTATCCTGCAAAAGTCATAAAAGCTTTGGGTGATGCTTCTCTTGGTGGAAAATATTACTTTAGGAGCCGTCTGACCTGCAAGAGCTACAGGCTTTTTACATCTTTACATGTTCTTTTTTTATTTTTACATATTTTTTCCCAAAGAGCTGATTTTTGGCATATTCTGGAATATGAAATGTTAGTGAAGGTGTTACAAGAAGTTCTGGTCTCTGAAATTAATCCCAATATTTGCCTGTGTGGAGCTGTGGGGTCAAATCTGTGCTGAGTTTCCTCTGCTGACAGCCCAGCAGTGTCAGAACCACTGGCTCCAGGGGCAAAAGGAGATTTCTTTCCACGTTTTTTTTTTTCCTTAAAATGCTCATTTCTGGCAGGGTGACAGGAGCAGCAGGAGTAGGGAGGATAATTTCTCCACCTGATGTTGGACAGGAATGGCCTTCAGCAGAGCCAGAGCTCAGAGCAGCCCCACACTGGGCCTGGGGCTCCCAGGAGAAATCCCTGCCTTTATCCCAAGTCTCAGAGAATTTGAACTTGCCCCAGGAAATGCTGGAAGGAACGGAGCTGGTCGAGCTGCAGGTCACTGCAGGGATCTGAGCTCCCACAGGGGCACCACTCACAAGGGCTTTCCAGGAATTCCCACCTTGAAATACAAATATATTTCCCCAGGGGCAGAATTCCCCCAGGGTTTCTAACCAATAATGTAAAGAGCAGGGATTATCCAGCACTAGAGTCAGTGGGAAAAATTTAACTTCCACAAATGGACAATTATATCCCAGGGCAGAGGCTGAACTTTGCTTTCCAGTTTTCCTCTTTTTTTTTTTCCCCTTTCCTACTTGAACTGCAGGCACCAGGCAGAGTGCTGCTGCTAATTTGTATAAATGAGCAGTAAAATTAAAACTGTGGCCACTTGGAAGTTGTTCTGTGCAGAAAAGCTTTGATATCACTGATGAATGCTGGTTTCTGGTTTCAATTAAAGCCTTTCTAATCCAAACTGCTTTTAGGAGGAGGAGGAAATGCTGTTAATAAAGAGAATAAAAGTGGGGTTTTTGAAAGGGCTCTTGGGTGCTCACTGTGCAACAACCAAAGCTGGAAGAGTCCTCAGGAAATCTTCCCGTGCTCAAGAAGCTGTTGGCTCAGGAAAACCACAACCAAGTTTGGAACTGCTCATCTTAAAGAAGAAAATGTGGGAAACTCCAAACCCTGGGGCTGCTCTGGTGGAGAGCTGAGGTGCCTCAAAGAGCTCCTGGACAGAGCCTGCCCTGCCTCGCTCCCAGAATTTGGGATGTGGATATTCCCAGTGCAAGGCTCCGGTCCCTGCACGAATGGCTCAGTCAGGCTGCCAAAATGCTCAACTGGTAAGTGTTCTCCCCAAATTCAATGCAAATATGAATTTTTTCACTGTTTAGAAAGCTGAACCAGCTGCTTTATTCCCAGAGTAACAAAGAGCAGGAGAGACTTTGAAAGCTCCAACTAATTCAGGGGTGAACACTTGGTGAAAACAAGATTTTCTTTAGCACTGACTTGAATCCTTCACCTGCCAGCAGGGTGTGATGTGTGTGAGCAGCACAGAGGTTTTGGGTGTGCACAGAAATGATTGCAGGCATTGCTAAATGAGCTTTAATCCTCCCCACTTGCTGCCTGTTTACCCAGGGATGAATTTTGCCCACTGGGGACATTTTATAGCAGTAATTAAACAAGAGAAAGCCACAAAGCAGCTAAATATTGCTTTAAGCTCATTTGACAAATGAGACATTTGAAACAAAAGGTTTCAGCTGCAGATTTGAATCCCTGGATGCAGTTTAGAAATGCTGCAATGTGTTCAGAAACAGAAATCACTGACACTTTTGCATAAGGGTAAATAACTGATGAACTCTGCTGTGGTGATGTCATTTGCTCATAAGCACT